GGTAGATGAGCAGATAATGGAAAGTTAAAAAAATGTGAAAGTATACACAACCAATAATCATAGTTATATAAATTTATAACAAAACACCATTTCCTTTTTTTTCCAATTGCCTCGATAATTGCAGAAGAGAACCAAATATGATTTTCATCTGACAAACTGGACAAATAAAATTTATCAATATGCAGTATGATAAGAGTATAGTAAGACATATGCAGATGGGAGGTTGGAATCAAAAGGTACTGCCCTTTAAAAAAAACAGTGTGTTTTACTCTTTAACCCAGGAATTTCACTTTCAAAGATTCTACCCAAGCAAAGACAAATGTAGCTGACTACCATGTACAATGATATCTACACAATGTTATTTATAGTAAAGAATGGAATGTCTCAAAATATGGGAACAGTTAAATGCATCATGGTGTTTCTGAATGACTGAATATTTAGTAACCATTTTTTAAAAGGAAACAAATCTGTATAAATCTGTATGTTAAGAATGATCCCAAAATTTAAACACACACACACGTGCACACACACACACACACACACAGTCTTCTTACTAGTTGTGTGATTTTGCTCAGGTTATTGACCATCTATGATTCCGTTTCTCCATATCCTTAAAATAAGGAAAATCATAGTACCTACCACATAGGGTTGAAATGAGGATTACGTAAGTTAATGCAAGTAAAGTAAGCATTACATCTACTTAATTTATTTGAGCACATTATTACATGAGTTAATTAATGCATTACATGCCTGGTACATAGACTTTTTTCAATAAATGAAAGCTCTTTAAAAATCATATAATACAAATTACTGGATGTGTATTGCTTTGCAGGACTCTAAGAAAACTTGAGGCAAGTGAACTCTAGGGTTTTCTAGCAAAAAAAAATCTCAGTGATAACACTTTCTACCTCACAAATTAATGTATATTTAAAGGACTGATATTCATATTTTAAGTGAGTACAGGAGATAAAGGAAACAGCAGCTGGACTTTCAGACTATAGGAAGTCAGAAAGAATGAGTGATTGCTCTGAGAATCAGAACTGGGGATGAGAGGGAGGCAGAGGGGGAATATTTGTTTTATTATCAGCATTTCCATTCTGATTCTTTACCGTTAATTTGCTAAAACACAAAATAAATAGATAAATAAAATAAAAAATCTATGTTTTGAAATGTGTACAGTCAGAGCACAGAAAAGCTGTCTCCCTTCAGGGTCTCTGAAATAAGAAAATAAGTATTTCCAGTTCAAGTCCTTGGCACCAGGAAGGATAATAGGTCATGGTTCCAGGAAGGGGAACATAGATGGCATCAGACGACTTCACAGAATGCCCAGAGAAGGTAGAATAGGTGCTTCTGTTTCCCAAAACAGTGTCCAGACAATGTCAGGTACAACACATGGAAAGCAGGGTTTCCAGTTAGCTCTGCTGATCTTTCAGCTGATCTGCCTGAAAGTTCACTTTCGAGCAAAAACTGTGAACTTGGATCTGGTATATAATTCGCTATACATGGATATTTTATTCTCTGTATAACTCTAGCAAGGCTGAACCTTTAGCAAGTCAAGGCTTACCTGAGGTGCCTCTCACAGATTCATCATGTCCCCCAGTAGAAGACAGCAAGAAGGAGTTTTTCCATGAGTAGGATATATTTAGTCAAAGTGCTTTCCATGACATGTTTCAGATACCCAGAGAAAACAGCTTGCAAGAACAAGGCATAAAAATCTATGCATACTTATGGCTTTGAGCCTAGGGTATTTTTTACCGACAAACTACTTCTAAACATCTGTCATTCAAGCACTACTGCTTAGCATGAACTAGTCTATATCCAAATAGACACCACAATGAGTCAGTTCACAGCTACTAGTATGATTTAGAGTTTACCTGTCTTCTAAAAAGAACAGCTAACATGTACCCAGAAAAAGGCATTCTATGTTACAACTATGTAATGAAGGCTAGACAATCAGAATGCAACTATTTTCCTTTTTAAGACATTAAACCCTCAGTTCTCTTTTCCCCACTAGTATTGTTTTCTTTCCCTGGATCCTTTTTCTTCTTGTTGTTAGAGATACCCATCAAGGCCAGTTGCTCTCTACTTATAAGCATATACTGCTTGTATAGTAGTAACGGCTCACCTACCTGAAGCTCAGCTTCAAGGATCTTCAACTCCTCAAACTATTCCTAAGAATTAGGAAATAAGGAAAATTGCAAAGAAAATGATGTAAAAGAAGCTAGGTATCAATGAATGTCTTCCAAATCCTAACTCGGCGTTCATTTACTCATATTGTGCCTCAAGTTAAATAGGTATCTGCTGGGAGATATAAACGTATCTTGTTGGAGATACTATGTTACTTGGAGATATAAAAGTGAATAAAGTACTCTCAAGGAATTTACAGTCCTAATAACATTAGCTAATCTGGTTTTGTGGCTACCGAAGAACAAAAACAGCAAAATAGAATTAACCAAGAATTCCACAGAAAGGCACACAGATAGCAGCAAGATTTCGTTCTATTCTTAAATCACAGAGTAATTTGAGCCCAGTCAACCCAAACTAGCTATTTATTTGATTAGATCATTTTAAAGTTCTTATTTTGTTCTCCAATTCTATGAATACAATTTTAAACCAGTTTACAATCTGACAACAGGAGACTTTTTTTTTGTAAGGCAGGAGAAGTAAAAAAACACAGCAGCATGCAGTCATTTACTATAGGAGTGAATTACTCCATCTTCTGCATTAGGCTATGTCACAACACATCATAAATATTGTTCACAATAGCCCACAGGATGAAAAAGCCCAGGCAGGGAACTTGCATGTTGTTACGGTTTACATTCTTTATTTCATCATTTTAAAATCATTAACTTATTTATTATTTATGATCCTCCACTAGAACATGTGTCCCTCATGAGCAGGCATTTGTCTGTCTTAATTACTGAAACAGTGCCTGTCACAGAAGAAGTCCTCAATAAATATTTTTTTCAAAGAACAATATTCTTCTTTTGACAAATTTTCTTTTGACCGTTTTTGACATTAACATTCAGTTTTATAACTACATTTCTGGGAATTATTTGTCCTTCTCTCTAAATTGATTGGTTTAGCCAGCATTGCCTATATTTTTATGCCATTATTTTCCCCTTTCTTGAATTCCTAATTTTGCTTCTTTTTCAATATGTTGGCAAATAGTCTCCCAATGATTCATTTCAAAATAGAATAGTATGGGGAATATATTTTCTGGATCATTGTATATATAAAATTATCTTTTACACATGAAAGATAACTTGCCAGGGTATATAATTCTGAAATGTTTGAGGTTGGTAGTATGCTTGCCTGGTATTTAGAGTTATATACTAGAGCATTCACTGTATTCAATCAGATTAGCACACCTTGTGGGGAGGAATGGACATGAGGCCAGAGAAAAGAACTAGATAACTCTTTTCATTTTTTTCCTACCTCATCTCCAAAGTTGCACAGTAATGGGGATGGCAAGAAGAGGAATAAGTGGAGAGGTATTTCAAATAAAGTCTGCAGAGCCAGGTGAGTGACTGTTTTGCAAAGTAGGTGAAAAAGAAGCCTAGAGTGGCTTCTAGATATCTTGCTAGGCTGATTTGGCTATTCTTGCTTCAAACTTGGTAGGGTTAATGTAATACTTTTGGGATTATCCTCCAAGCTCTTTTCCTCATCATCATATTTTAATTTGTAATTGGACAGTATCTTCAATCATTCAAAGTCCCCACTAGCTGAATGATTTGTGCTAGGAGAGTTTGAGGCTTATGAATTCTTCTCAACATACCCTTTTCTTAGTGGTTCTTTACTCTGAATTTTTATTGTACTTTAAACAAATTTCTATTGTCACTTATCACCTGTATTGTAATTGAAATAGGTTCCCTACTTGTCTATCTCCATTGAACTAGGAACACCTCAAAAAGCACCGTGTTAAATTTCTGTTTGTACCTCCAATGCTTGGCACTGAGAAGAAACTGAAGCAATCATTACAGAATTCGTGGTCATTTACAAGAAATATGCATTTACAAAAAAAACTTCACAAGCAGGGAGTTTGTGAGACGGGTATATTTGAAAACATTTTAATTATAAGAAAACAGAACTGAAGCCAGACTCTTCAGAATTCCTCCAATCTGTCATTCATTCATTAGTCATCAATGCTGTATTAAGGTACCAAGCACCGACTGAGTGTTGAAGACAGAATGTATGACAACATCCAACTTTGGAGTCGCTCAGGGACTAAAAAAGCAAGTGTCTCTCACTTAGTGGTCCCACCATTGCCCCTAGAGAGCAAAGCCTGACCCTGAGACCCGGTGAATTTGCAGAGGAACTTCAGAAGGCAGGGACCAGGCCTCACTGGTCTTGTCAGGCAACGAATAAGCAATCAGTGCGTGTTTGCTTAAACAGGTTAAAAAAAAATAGTTATTTTCATCAGATGAACTTTAAGACGGAGATGATCTAAATTCAGATGTACTATTAAGTCTTAAAGTTGAACTGAAATGCAACATAGAAATTTATTTCTGGCCGGGCGTGGTGGCTCACGCCTATAATCCCAGCACTTTGGGAGGCCGAGGCGGGTGGATCACGAGGTCAAGAGATCGAGACCATCCTGGTCAACAAGGTGAAACCCCGTCTCTACTAAAAATACAAAAATTAGCTGGGCATGGTGGCGCGTGCCTGTAATCCCAGCTACTTGGGAGGCTGAGGCAGGAGAATCGCTTGAACCTAGAAGGCGGAGGTTGCGGTGAGCCGAGATCGGGCCATTGCACTCCAGTCTGGGTAACAACAGCGAAACTCCGTCTCAAAAAAAAAAAAAAAAAAAGGGAAGAAAGAAATTTATTTCTGTTTGGACTAGATCTAATCGAACAAGAGCGTTGAAGTCCGGAAGAGTCGGGGATGGGCAAGTTTTAGAAATAACGCGGAGAGCCTGTGAGATGTGAGACCAGCTGGGCGCAGAGGCCTCAGGAAGGTGACCTCCTCATCTGGCGGGCGGGGGAGGGAGCGCTCACACTAGAGCCCTTGTCCTTGAAGGGGATTGAGCGAGCCGAGGGGAGGGGTAGGCGGTGCTCGGGTTTCCAATCACAATGGAGAAACCTAAGAGGCCGCGGAGGTGGTGGGGCTCCGCCCCCTCCTCCCTCCTTGCGGATCCGGCGCCGGAGGAGACGCAGGCTGCTGACATTGTCTTCTCCGCACCACTGTTTCTGGGGTCTTCAGAGCCTTCTCTCTCCCGGTAGGTTTCTGCTCAGGACCCTGAATCCTGGCTCACAGACAAGCCGGGTGGGACGTGTGGGGGAGTAATTGTGCGGAGATACGTGGGAAGGACCAAGAAGCACATCTGTCCTCCGCGGCCTTGAGCTCTGAGCATCCGACCTCGGGCCCTGACTCTGCCTCTTGGTTTAGGGCGCAGGGCGGGCGGTGCCCTGGCGGAGGGGAGCGGCTGCGGCCCAAGGGGGTTCTATCAGGGGAGAGAGAGACTTGTTGCATTTGCAGCTAAAACCGGGCCCTACTTGTCCTTGGTCGGTTCATGGCGGCCACATCACCCCCGCGGCCTGCTGGCGGGAGTCGGGACACGTGCCCGAGTAGCTGGGGGACGGGGAAGGAACCAGGTGGTCTATGAAGGCTGGACGGTCTTTACCTAGAATATTTGAATATACTACCGCGGTAGTAGGGAAATGCCCCTGCGCTCGCTGGGATGAGGAGAAAGGCATTAAATGACCAGCACATTTGGCCCCGCGCTCATCTTTACCCGGCTCTCCTAGTCTTTCCAGGAACCACGCACCAGTTCTTTCCTGGCTTCTTTTCTTGATGCTTAGGTGCTTCATTTACTTTACCAGCTTTGGGTGCTCCGAGTAAGGAAGCCCTGGGCTTGTCCCCACAGACCTGACTCGGGAGATCTCAGGCTTCTGCCTGCCTTCGTGATCTGCCGTTCTTTGCTGCCTGTGCCCTGAGGGAGAGGTGGTTTCTGCGCGCCGGGAGCAGTACTGGCTGCAGCGAGGGCCTGGGGCCTGGGGGGAGGGGAGGAATTCAAAAGCAAAAGCTGAATTTTTAAAAGATTACAATGAGAAAGATTCTGCAAAGAGGATCTTTGCTCCTGAAATTAAGGCACCCGTTGTTTCTTTTTTTTTTTTTTTTGAGACGGAGTCTCGCTGTGTCGCCCAGGCTAGAGTTTAGTGGCGTGATCTCGGCTCGGCTTACTGCAACTTCCGCCTCCCGGCTTCAAGCGATTCTCCTGCCTCAGCCTCCCAAATAGCTGGGAGTACAGCGCGAGCCACCACCCCCGGCTAATTTTTGTATTTTTAGTAGAGACGGGGTTTTGTCATGTTGATCAGGCTGGTCTCGATCTCGTGACCTCGTGATCCGCCCTCCTCGGCCTCCCAAAGTGCTGCGATTACTGGAGTGAGCCACAGCTCCCGACTGGCACTCCTTTATTTCTAATGATTTATATCCACAGCAGTGAGGAGACATAAAGGACCAAGACTCAGAGATTTTTACCCTGGTTTTCGTTCTTGTGCCTTATCCTGCACTCTGATGTTGGCATAGGCCTGCATATCACGCAGACCACTTTCTTCTCATTTCTTAAAAGTCCTTTTAAAGAAAAATTAAAGAAAAGTACTTTCTCCAGAAAAGTCTGACAGAAAATCTGGCTCGAGGCTTTAAATTGTACTGCCTGAAGTTTTCTGAATTAAAAGATCCGTCAGAACAACGAATCTGTATTTATATAGCCACCATTTCTGGATTTTCGTTTTCCACTGCTTCCTGGGCCTCCCTATATACTAAACTAATTTTAAACAAACTGTCTAACAATAAAACAAGTGCAAAACAACTATTCATGTGGTCTTCGTTCAAGAAGAGCTGCAGCATTCTTCGGAGCCTGCTTAAAATGCAGGCATGTTTTATTTCATTTTAAGGTCATCTATTTGTAGAGGCATTTGCACAACATTGCATCTTTCTTCTCTCTCTAGCATCCGCTAGGAAACTGTGATCTGTAAAGGGGAAAGAATCTACTTTTATCCTAAAGATGGGGGAAATTTTTTTTGGAGAAAAAGTAGCTATAAATAAAATAGTTGTTACACAGTTGTCTCCAAATTCAGATACTTTATTCCAACTCAGAGTTTTGCTAACTCTTTACATATACAGTTAATAAACCAGATTGATTGCTTAGTCCGTTGCAGATTAGAATTAAAAACTAGACAAAGCGCTGGCACAGTTTGAGACAGGTATGGTGGCCTCACATGCGACAGTCTGACATGAAAAGTAAAAAGCAAATGAAAATAATGGACATTACAAAGGGTTATTATAATTATGAAGAAAAGACTTACTTGCCATCTGTATTCTTTGTTCAAGAAGGCAGAGTGGTGTATACTTAGTGTACTATAAATTGCCATGGAATTGATGTTTATTTCAATAGATTTTGCTATTTTTTTCAGTTACCAAGAAAACACATCTGGTTATCTGATGACACAAATAAGATTTGGTGTTACTGTACAGATCATTCATTTTCCAACAGGTTTATTTATTTTTTTTCTTTTTCTTTTTAACTTTTTGGGGGCTTGAGTTTGGATGATTAGACAGAAACCGGTTCAGAGGCTGATATTCACCTACTGGATCCCCTGAAAGGACAATGTATTAAATGTCTATCTACCTTCCAAGAAGCTTCTTGGGTGCCCTAAAAGGAATTCAGGGTGATATTTTTGCAGACTTTGCATAAAAAATATTCATTGCCGTTTTATTGTCACTATGTATTGAGTATATATTCCATGTCCAGTACTCTGTGACAAATTTTATGTGAGACAAAGTAGAAGAAACAGTCCCTGTCTTCCAAGAATGTAAATAACCATTAATAGTAGAAATTATGTTTACAATTGGCCGTTTATTCTTTTTATCCAAGCTTAAATATGTTAATTTAGACTCAAACTTAGTTTACGTAGTTAGATGTACATTCTTTTCATAGGGGAAACAAACAAATTAGCTAATTTAAAGGTAAATATTCACAGTTTTTTTAACCAGAAATATTCACAACTTATTAAATACACACCTGGAATCATAGGCTTAAGAGAAGAATTCTACTGGGCTTCATGTAAGTTTTTACCTTAACGAATTATTCCATTAAATGGGTCTCATGTTTCTTTAAAATATATTCTGCTTTCTAGAATATCATTAGGCTGATTTTAAGTTGTACTTGAATTCAAAATTGCAACAGTAACAGTTTAAGGATAATTTCTACTTGGATTTTACATGCAGATACATGTGTAATGTTTTGATTCTATCCTTGCAGTGCAAAATGGCAACTCTTAAGGAAAAACTCATTGCACCAGTTGCAGAAGAAGAGGCAGCAGTCCCAAACAATAAGATCACTGTAGTGGGTGTCGGACAAGTTGGGATGGCGTGTGCTATCAGCATTCTGGGAAAGGTACATTCAACAACACCATAGATGATAGAGAAGTTCAGCATGTGTACACAGTTTCTTAGGGCACCTTGGGATTTTATTATATCTTTAAAAGACTTTTTTCCTGAACAGTTTAAAGTCATAGGTGTAATCACACTTCACTTTAAAATATCTAAGCATGTATCTCCTAAAACAATTATATTCTCCCTATGTGACCATGATAGTTACTACACTTACAGATTTTAACACTGTTGCAATATTGTCATCCAATATACACTATTCATATTTCAAGTTCTCCATGTTGTCAGAATCATGCCATTTATAGCTATTTTCACCTCAGTCCCAGATAATGAATTTTTTTTTTTTTTGAGACGGAGTTTCGCTCTTGTTTCCCAGGCTGGAGTGCAATGGCCCAATCTCGGCTCACCACAACCTCTGCCTCCTGGGTTCAGGCAATTCTCCTGCTTCAGCCTCCTGAGTAGCTGGGATTACAGGCACGCGCCACCATGCCCAGCTAATTTTTTGTATGTTTAGTAGAGACAGGATTTCACCATGTTGACCAGGATGGTCTTGATCTCTTGACCTCGTGATCCACCCGCCTCGGCCTCCCAAAGTGCTGGGATTACAGGCGTGAGCCACCATGCCCGGTCAGATAATGAATTTTATATACTGGTCATGTCTCTTCATTCTTCTCTGATGTGGAATGGTTACTCAACCTTCCTTTGTTTCTTGTGTCATTGACATTTTTGTAGCATCCAGGTGAGTTCTGTAGTGTGTCTCAATTTGTCTGATTGATGTTTTCTTGTAATTTAACTTGGGTTGAATTTTTAGGTGATGTCATGTCCTTCTCTGTGCAGACCATCAGGAGGCACATGATGTTTAACTTGTCTCATTACTGCTGAACTTAATCCCCTGGCTAAAGTGGTCACAGCAAGCCTTCTCCATGGAAAGATCCCTTTCCTTCCTTTAATTAATAAGTAATCTGTGCCATGCATGGCTTTTTGAGGTTGTGGGAATATCCTATTATGCCCCTTAAACTTTTACCTAATGGCTTTATTTTGAAATGATTTCAGATGTACAGAAAATTTGTAAGAATAGTAAAAACATAAAACTTTCACAAATACTTCACCTATATTTACCAATTCTTAACATTTTATTCTTTATGCTTTCTCTCCATATGTACATATACATATATTTGTATGTGTTTATAGACAGATTTATAGATACAGAGATCTATGGAAATAGATACATGTGTCCATGACATGTGTCTATATCTACCTATATATGGCTTTCTTCTGAACCATTTGAAAATAAATTGCAGATATTTGCCCTTTACTTCCAAGTCCTTTAGAGCAGCGGTCCCCAGCCTTTCTGGCACTAAGGACCAGTTTCATGTGGGGCAATTTTTCTACAGATTTGGGGTGGGGGATGGTTTGGGGATGAAATCGTTCTACTTCAGATCATCCGGCATTAGCTAGGTTCTCTAGATTCAGTACTGGTCCATGGCCTGGGTGTTGGGGACCCCTGTTTAGAGTACATTTCCTAAGAATGGGACATATTCTGAGATAATCAGTGCAATTATCAACATCAGGAGATTCAACACTAATACCATACTATTATCACCACCCACTTCTCAAGGCTCTTTTTTCTGTGGACCTCCGTAAGCTTTTTGCCTTACCTCATATGTATCCCTTATAGTTCAAACCACAGTTAAGCGTTTTTTAGTTCTCAAAGACTTGAGGAACGATGCCCTTTCTTTATTTATCTCACTGAACTGATTTCCTTATTTCTTCTGATGGCTGCCTTAAATGTAGGAATAAGAACAAAAATGCTGCCTGCCTTCAGAACGCACTGTCCCTTTGTGTCATATGTAAAGGCTGCCTGAATAACCCGTAACCAAGCACATTTCTGTTTTCAAAATTTAAATTCTAAACCAGCAAACTGAAACTTTACTGAGAAAGAGTTACCAAAAAAAAAAAAAAACTAAAAAATGTAGTGCACATCAGTGAAAGTTTTATCCTTTTGCATTTTCTTCTAGCTAGCTTCAGCTGACTAGGTAACTATCATTTAGGATAGCAGCTTCCTAGATTACAGGGAATTTAAATAACCACAATTTCCTGCTCACTGTTCATGCCAATTAAAAAAAAAGGTATTTCAGCTTACATTTCTTTGGAAAAAAACATCGAGTACTTGCCATATGCAAAGATAAAATGAAAATGCTTTCTCCTAAATAACCGTAGGAGATAGAAACTATTTATATGCTTGGTGTTGGATGACATGGCTAATGCTCAAAGGGCCCATCCACAGTCTCACATATGGCAGTGGAAGGGCTGTATGTTGAACCCAGCTCTGAATTTTTCGCCATAATGACTTTACAATTTTCTTTTTATTCAATGCTAGCATTCAGGCATTTAGAAAATAATAAATGTATTAATTAAATACTAGCTAAAGATTTTTCTTTTGTTAATCTCAAAATCTCGACCTTTCAGGAAACTATATCTGAGCTACCATGATTCTATAAGAAGTACCTCTAGGATTGTTGTAATTGCAAATTTTAAATTCTCTTCAGTAAATAGTTTCATTGAGACTGTACCTAGAGTTAGATAACACTTCGGCTCAACTCCAGGGCTTTAGAGACTAGGCCCTGCTGCTAACAGATTTGGAATCTTCAGATTCAGAATGATTTCTGTTTTTCTTTTTTCTTTCTTTTTTTTTTTTGAGACGAAATTTCCCTCTTATTGCCCAGGGTGGAGTGCAATAGTGTGATCTTGGCTCACTGCAGGCACCTGCCACCGCACCCAGCTAATTTTTTGTATTTTCGGTAGAGACGGGGTTTCACCATATTGGTCAGGCTGGTCTTAAACTCAGTTGATCTGCCTGCCTTGGCCTCCCAAAGTGCTGGGGTTACAGGTGTGAGCCACCCCACCCGGCTGATTCCTGTTTTCAATCTACTGTTCCTTTTCCCTTTCTTTTTAGCAAAATGGAGTACATTGCTTTAGAAATTATATGGAGACTATATAACAAAGAATATTTTTGAAAACATAAATACAGGAAAGAATGATTGACTTGTTGAAAGATGATTTAACCAATTAAAAATGGTGAAATATTATTTTAATGGGTAAAAATAAAAGTGGTTCAAAATTGAATAAATTGATAAAGATTAGAAATCCCACCAGCTTAATAGAGAAAGGAAAATAACTCTGCATGTGGGTGTTTGTATATTACATCATTTATTCCTTTCTGCAACCTGTCAGAAGATATTGTCATCTATACCTTATTGTTGAAAATAACAAAAACCAAACACCTAAGATCACACAGAGAGTACATGCCAGATCTGGCCTTTTTGAGCTCATAGATGGTGTACTTTGCCCCCAGAAGTTAAATAAAAGTATAGTAGCATCAGAGAGGTTGAGTAGGGACATGCGGTAGCTAGACTTGCAAAGCCCACTAAGGCTCCCTGATACGGTGTCACACCGTATGAAAACTGGATTATTTTTGGCTTCTGCTTTTGCTCACTCTCTGCAGCCCATTGCTTACGTAATAACCATAGGGAGCTTTCGTAAAACTAGTGGCTCCCTTACTCAAAACTTTCCAGTTATTTTACAGTGCACATATGCTACACATATACATATAATCCTATGAGGCCTCACAGATCCCTCCCTGCTCACTCCTCAGAACAAAGCAACAGAGCACACAACTCTGGAGGCACCATGCACACAGAGGCAGCAGACCTGCCAGTGCAACATGGTGGTCCATCTCTGACTTCATCTCTTCTATTTGTCTTCTGCCCCGCAAATACCAACCTCATTTTTGCTTAAACTCCTTTACTTGCATTTCCCTTCACTTGGAATGTTCTTCCCTAGGCCGCAGGGTTGACCCCTTCTTATCATTCAGATCTTACTGCAAATGCACGCCTTTGCAGGCAGGTCCTTCCCTGCCTTCCCATATAAAGTAAATTTCCTTCCTAGCAGTTTTGACATCTCGCTGCCTTATGCACTTCAGAGCACTTCTACCTTCAGAGATTATCCAGATTTTTTGTTTGTTTAATTCCTGTTTCCTTCCTGATGCATTCTATCACAGCAGAGACTTAATCATAAGTGTATACCTGAGTAGTAGGTTAATGCCAGGCACTTACATGATAAATAAATGAATATTTTCTGCTATTACTTTTAAGGTGTACTCATACTTTGTCAAACTTTGGTCATAGCCTTTGATTTTTTTATATCTTCTACTGCCAGACTTTACTTTTGCCCCATTATCCATCTCAGCCATCTAAAATGTAGAGCCTGAGCCAGCTCAGGCTTCTGCCTCCTGAATACCAACCTCCCAAATACCAGCCATACCAAGAGGAGGAGCTGAATGTCTAAGTCATCACGTTGTAAGGGTCCTGAAGAACTTCCAGACAAGATTATCTTAGATCCTTAAGCTTCTAAGTCCGTCTTTGGTTTGAGTGTTTATCTTTGCTTCAGTCAACTGTAGCTGTGTTCTTGTAGGACAAACACAGAAAACAGAGCTCTTAGGAGGAGCAAGGTATGTAATGTACAGACAAATTGCAAAGTAGTTTTGCAGTGCAAGACTTGGCTTAAAAGTAAAACATAATTAAAATTTGGTATTTGTACAAGCCAGGTTTGGCATTTCAGCCAGAAGCATGCTCAAATAGTATTTAATAATAATATAAAAGTAGCATTTCGGAGGGGAAGAAACACAAACTATTGAATAAATGGCACTTGTCCATTTAGTTAATAATTTGAGAAAGGTTACACCGTTTCCTCCCACAAATTTTACGCATACTAAACACTTGGATATATATATATGTATTTTTTTTTTTTTTTTTTTTGGAGAGAGATGGCGTCTCATTCTGTCACTCAGGCTGGCTGGAGTGCAGTGGCACAATCTCTGCTCACTGCAACCTCTGCCTCTCAGATACAAGTGATTCTCCTGCCTCAGCCTCCCGAGTAGCTGGTACTACAGCTGCATGCCACCACGCCCTGGTAATTTTTGTATTTTTAGTAGAGACAGGGTATCACTATGTTGGTCAGGCTTGTCTTAAACTCCTGACCTCAGATGATCCACCTGCCTTGGTCCGCCAAAATGCTGGAATTACAGGTATGAGCCACCTTGCCCGGCCAACACTTGGATATAAAAACCATCAAATACTAAGGCACTGGTGATAGTAATGTAATACTTACGAGGAAGAAAAGGTGGAATATATGGCTCTGTCTGTTCCACACAAGACTTTAAATCTAAAGCCTGTTTTTAAATGTCTGTCACAGGAGTAAAAATAAATATGTTTTTAAAAGCAGTTTTATTGTTATATTTAGTAGCTTTCAAAAATGGTATTTTGGTATCTAACTGACCTTGATCCATAAAAAGAATACTGGTTTTTAAGTTAATCTAAATCTTGCTGTTTCAAACATTTTAAACACACTTAAAGCGTAAGTGAATTATGTATATGGTAAGTTCATTTTATAAAATATGTGAATACAGAGGGAGATTTCTTTAAGCCAAACAGCAGCACCAGTACTTAGTCACATCCTCTATTTGCACGCCACTCCATTTGTGGGATAGTCGGTGCTGCAGATGCAGCTAAATTTGGCGTTTCAATTATTATCATTTAAGTGTTGGATCTCTTCCTTCCTTATCAGCAGAGTATGTACTACTCAGGCAATTCTCTACACCCACTGAAACAAAGAGACAGGATCTGAGATCCTGTGACATCCTTTTCTACTTAAGCACTAAATTGTTTTGCCCTGTTGACTTCTGCAGCACACATGTGATGTTACTAAAATAAGAATGATATTCCCAGTGCTCAGTACCCTAATAGAACCGTTACAGCTATTGTTACGTTGCATTCATTTAGGACTTGAAAAACACAAATGAGAATTTTGTGTGTTCTTATCAGAGGTTGCAAAGCAACAACAGCAGCTTTAAAGGTGTTGAAACGTGTTTAAGCAAAGATAGATAAAAATTAATGCCAGTATTTGATATAACTGGAAACAGAAATGTTCTGTACGTGATCCCCAACTCGCAGAATGGTCATTTTAAAAATCTGTAAGTAATTTGGTTGCTCAGAACTAAGGATTCATTCAGCCATCAGGATACTTTCAGTCTAAGAGAAACCCTCACAAGCAAGCCCACTAACTCACTTCATGAGACCAGCTAGCCACTTAGATTTTAGCAACAGACGACAGTGTTTATTCATTGTCATACAGGGAACGAGACCTGCTTTATCTAGCAAGGTAAGTAGGTCAGCTTTTCTTACTTGTTGTCTCCCAGCTCTCTGCCGCATCTCCCTCTGGTGGCTCCTGCCACCTGAGCTACTCCACCTTCAAAGTGTTTTCTGAACTCCAGTTACTTCTGTTCCCCCCCCGCGAATTAACACCCTACACCCTTCACCTGTGTAGCTGATCACACTACTGTTCTTAGAATAGGTTGACCCTTGAACAATATGGGCAGGTTCACTTACAGGCAGATTTTTTTTAACCAAAAATATATTAAAAATATAGTATTCAGAGGATGCAAAACCCACATATATGGAGAGTCTTTCACATCCCGTGAGTACTGTCATTTTGTATACTTGCTTGTACCCAGATTTTGATACACTCAGTGGTTCTGGAACCAATCCCTTGAGAATTGTATATTGAGGAATGACTATTGGCATTTTTAACTGGGCCCCAGTATTGATATATTCTACTTAGCTAATATTTTTGCTACCAGCCATAAAAACAATAAAAGCAAGGATTCTGGTGATGTTTCAATCAGAGGATTAACCACTTTTTAAACAGTTTATAAATTATGACTTCCGTAAGATAATGGAATTTCATAGCTGACAGCTTTAGATGTGTCTAGACCAACCACCTTTTTTTCTTCTACTTTTATGTAGAGATTCCAAGAATAATGAAAAAAAAAAAAAGATTCCAGGCCTGGGGTGGTGGCTCATGCCTATAATCCCAGCACTTTGAGAGGCTGAAACAGGTCAGGAGTTCAAGACCAGCCTGGGCAACATGGTGAAACCCCATCTCTACTAAAAATACAAAAATTAGCCGGGCATGATGGTGCATACCTGTAATCCCAGCTACTCAGGAGGCTGAGGCTGGAAAATCACTTGAGCACAGGAGGCAGAGGTTGCAGTGAGCTAGGATTGTACCACTGCACTCCAGCCTGGGCAAGAGTGAGACTCTGTCTCAAAAAATATATATATATGTATATATATATGTGTGTGTGTGTGTGATTTCAGATCAAGATTAAATAGTATATTCATTACTTTAGATTTTATTTTGGATAGGGGACAGAGAATGACAACTGGAATAGAAAACAAAAGAAATCTGAGACTGGGTAAGTCTCAGGCACACATTTGTAGTGATCACCTGTGAAAAAATCTCCCAATCCTAGACTCTGTCCATAAAACTCTCCTTCCTTTCCCCACTAAGACATTTGAGTGGATCAGAGCCAACCCGAAGATTCTAAGCTTCAACTTGGGTTTCAAATCCTACTCTAAAGTAAACTCACACTCCTGGTGATTTAAGCCAAATCTACCCTCAGAAAATCTCTAAATTGGGGTGACCTCAAGGATGGACACATTGCCCAAGGTTGTTTCTGGGCCTGAGTGTATTTTTATTTTCACCATTCCCTCTTCTTAATATGTAGACTTGTATTCACTGAGCCTACTCTTGAACTAAGCTGGTTTCATAATGAGTGTTTTAGTCTATATGCTCTTAAAGTATAGTTTGCATCATGTGAACTGAATCCTAGTTGAGTATCTTATTTCATGGTGAAATTCTTAAGATGTTTTGACCTTTGGTGCTTAGCCATGTAAAGATCTTTCTTTGGGTTAGATTTTGAGCTGCGGCATCCTAGAGTGGCTTAGGATTCTGATGCCTGTTTTTGCATTTACAGTCTCTGGCTGATGAGCTTGCTCTTGTGGATGTTTTGGAAGATAAACTTAAAGGAGAAATGATGGATCTGCAGCATGGGAGCTTATTTCTTCAGACGCCCAAAATTGTGGCAGATAAAGGTAATTTCACTTAATGCCCAAAGTGAACAAATGTTAATTTTTTTCATATTCCCAAAAATGCATTTAGAATGCATCTTACAGCATAATAAATTTATTTTTAAGTAGGAAAAGTTGAAGTTTTGGAATAAGTATTTCAATACCTGTTAACAAAATATTTATAATCTATTTTAATAAATTCAAATTATTGCAAAATTGTTATATAATTATAAAATGTCTTCCCTTTTTTCCTCATTTGATAAAAAACTCTTCTTATTTCTGTACTATATTCTACTTTTTATTTCTAATATATTTTATATTCATTTATTAATGGACAGCTACCTAAAATGAGTTTGCTAGCCATAAATGATCACTGATATGTCACTAAGAGGAAATAACAAATTGGATTTATAGCATTATTTGGGTTATCTTACCACGTTTCTTCTATAGGCCAATTTTCTTTCATCCACTTCTAGAAACCCACTTGCTACTGCTAAAATATACACATAGCAAATTGACATTTTCCCATTGGAAGTATATGTAGAAAATGGTTATGTATTCCACACTTCACACTAGTTATCTTTATCCTAAAACAGATGTATTCCCTAAAATGAAAGTTTGAATGCATTCTTTTCTTTAAAAATGTCTTATCTTTTTATAAACCTTTGTCTATATTCTAAAACCTTTAGCACGGCCTGCACACATCTCAGTTTGGATCCAACCTGCATTTCCTCATGCCTCATCATCCTCCTCTTCTCCCTCAGTCTCTGTTATAAAATTAGTCTTCCCATCCTGGTGAATCTGGTTTGGCAGTTTCTTCTTTCTTCTGGGTCCAGTCTATCCTCAAGGTTAAACTGAAGTGTCACTTCTATTAACTGTCTCCCACATACCTTCTACACATTTTATATGTAACATTTGGGCTATTGTGTTATAATGGCTTGTTTATATGTATCTGAGAACAGGCATGTTTTCGACCCCAAAAGTATTGGTACAAGGTAACTTCAATGCCTTGAAGAAAACTAAATAATAGCTATTATTTATAAATTTGTGACATTCTGGGCACCATGTGAAATATTTTGCACCTATTATTTCGTCTAACTTCATCTTTGCAACAACCTTATGAAATGTAGGGACTATAATTACCTCCGTTTTATGGGAGAAGAACCAAAGTAGTAGTAACCATCAAAAGGTACACTGTAATCCAGTTTAATTATGTGAATCATCCATAACTATTGAGTTAAGTGATCACATAAAATTGCAGTATCTGTATATTTTTTAAAAGGACACACTTCCTTAAGAAAAAAATAAAATCTGGGAAACTTGCAGTGCTAAAAAGTAAATAAGCTTCCTACAAGCGTATTAGAAATCCAAGTTTTAGTTTCCAGACAAAACCAAATACTTTAGTGCCTTTTTGCCCTTCCTAAATTTAACTTTTTAAGATAAAAGTAACTTAAAATTGATTCAGTTTTTTTTTCTTTTTTTTGGCTACCTATTGGATTCACTGTTTACACTTCATTTTATTCCTGATAGTTCATTTAATTCATAGCCAAAAACATATTTTGGGGTCATCTTTATTTCCTGAGGCATTTTAATGTTTGGATTATTGCAGTGTAGTTCAAGGGAGAAAAAAGAAGCCACAGAAACATTAAACTTCAAACCCTTATAATACGGAAAACTTAATTCACATTGTCTGTTCTAGCATCTTATGTGTGGTTAGGCTTTTAGAGCATATCATATAGGATATGTTTTATTGAAGAGTTGCATTTAAAGTACTTGTTTTTGCCTCTCTTTAAAGATTATTCCGTGACCGCCAATTCTAAGATTGTAGTGGTAACTGCAGGAGTCCGTCAGCAAGAGGGGGAGAGTCGTCTCAATCTGGTGCAGAGAAATGTTAATGTCTTCAAATTCATTATTCCTCAGATCGTCAAGTACAGTCCTGATTGCATCATAATTGTGGTTTCCAACCCAGGTATTATTGTAATACTGTCAGTCTCTGTTCTGTTAAGTTCAGTGTTTTGGGGTGTTGTTGTTTTGGACTAAAATCAGTCTCAGTATTCACTTACAGAAGCAATTTACCTGTCTTCGTTTATTGACCTTAATGGTGTTTGCAAACACCAAATGTTTGAAAAATGTGAGAAGAGTTTTATGTAAAGCAATTTCATGACAACTTCCTTTCTTCCTTCCTTTCTTTCTCTTTTGTTTGCCTTCCTTCTCTCTTTCTTTTTTCTTTTCTCCCTTCCTCCACCTTCCCTCCCTCTCTCCCCCTCCTTTCCTTCTTCCTTCTCTCTCTCTCTTTTTTTTTTTTTAAAGAGATGGGCTTTACTGTGTTGCCCAGGCTGGTCTCGAACTCCTGTCCTCAGGTATCCGCCCACCTCAGCCTCCCAAAGTGCTGGGATTACAGACATGAGCCACCGCGCCCAGCCCCTCTTTCTCTTTCTTTCTTTCTGTTTCTAAAAAATAAATTTAAAAATATAATAAATTTTTTTTTTAAAAGCAATTTCATGTTTTTGCTTCATCTGGCTTCGTTATAGATCCTAAAGACTTTTAAAAAAAATTTTAAGGATTATCCTGGGATAAAGAATGAAACATTTGAATGTAGTTTCAATTTGTAAGAAACATTTTAACATACTTGACTTTTTGTCTTCTGGAAAAATCCCATTATACAGAATTGAAACAGATCAACCTTGAAAAGAGGCATGTAAGAAAGCCATTAAACAAGTCTGTTTTAAAGATAGAAATAGACTGTATTGATGGACGAATATATGCTAACACCAAATGCTCTGACTTAAAAATTGCTTTCCTGTCTAACTTAACATCTACAGTGTGAACATTAAAGCTTCTGACTAGAAAGATTGCACTTTTTTAGCCTTAACAGCTAAAATGTGCTCCATTTGGCACTGCTTTTGTCTATAGTTGCCACCAAACTTACTGCATGTTGGTGAGCATAGCAGGTATATTGGTCAAATAGTAAATAAAACGGATTATCTCCTACACTTCACATAGAGAAAGATTATGAATACGAGCTAGGGGAATCCCTACAGTATCTTGAGTATTGAGAGTTGGGAGCCAGCAAGGACAGAGGTTATTTCCATATTTTTACTCTCTGCAAACCCAGATTGGAGTTTGTGAATGGTTCAGTCTTAGATATAAAACTTCTCATACATGTATCTGTTTGCCAGGTAGAAGTAGAACAGGAATGACAAGTAGCTAGCACATAGTGAGTTAATGCATCCTGTGCCTCAGGCAGGCATTGCTAAATGATTATGCAACTTTCTAGATACAGCTTCACAGCTGGATTTTCCAGGGAGTCACTTCTGCTGAATCCAAGTTGGCAAGGGAAAGTTATCCTGTACCAAATGTCCTTGAATTATCTCAGCCATTGTTTACAGATGACTGTGGGGGTGGAGGCTGCAGGGTTAACTTTCAGCTCTTCACCTTCCTTGTGTGCAGTTTTTACTTTTTACAGCTTAGCCTGCAAGTGCTGTGATCCTGTCTGGACCAGCAAAAGTTTTTTCTCTGGTTTCAAGGCTATGTGCCACGCTGGAGCAAAGGTTCTTAGGAGCATAGATGTTCTTTTATTAAATAGAAATTTTTAATACTATGTATTATCATAATTGTTTACTGAAAGGTATCTCATGCCCAGAAAAATTTATGGTAGCAGGATTAGGTTCATTAGTAATCAAAGGCTTCTTGGTTTATGACAATCATAATTATGGAATGTTAAAATTGGGGGAAACTTACATGACACTGATTCAACCTGTTGGCTTTTTTTCAACTTTAAGTTAATCTGCAAGGTTCTTATGTATTCTTGTTTCACATAATAATGCAAATGTAAAAGCACAGTTGCATTTTTCATGTTTGCTATCTTCATATAAGGCTTAAAAGTTTCTTTTTCTCTCTCTCATTCCTGTTTGTTATCTCTAACTATGAAAAGTTAGTATTTACATCTTTCTGGTCACATTTCATTTGGGGCATGGGGAAGTGGGGAAAGGGAAGCCTGGGCAACCCAAGCTGCATAACAGTCGAAGTTGGTTTTGGTTTACTTATATATGTTATTTCCAAAATTTTTAGTGGACATTCTTACATATGTTACCTGGAAACTAAGTGGATTACCCAAACACCGTGTGATTGGAAGTGGATGTAATCTGGATTCTGCGAGATTTCGCTACCTTATGGCTGAAAAACTTGGCATTCATCCCAGCAGCTGTCATGGATGGATTTTGGGGGAACATGGCGACTCAAGTGGTAAAACAAACAAACAAAAAATAACTCTGATACTGGTTTTGCCATTTTGAATTTTTTGTTTTATTTCAAATTTTACAGACTTTGATGTACTTCAGAACAGTTGCAAAAATAGTAGTTACTTTTCTATTCCAATTTACTTTATCATTCATTCCTCTATCTGTCTTTCTATCATTTATCTTTACCCTGATGAATTAAGCATAAATCAATTCTCTTATGCTTTTCTCTATAAGTTCTTTACTATGTATTTCCTCAAAACTAAGATTTTCTTTTTCATAATCACAGTACACTTATCAAAGTCAGGAAGTGTAACACTGATAGAGTATTATCTAATTCACAGTCCATGAATTCACATTTCACCAACTTTCTCAGTAGTTTCCTCTAAAGCTTTTTTCCTAATTCGGAATCCATTCTAAGTTTACACATTACATTGATTGTATCTCCTTAGCCTCCTTCATTCTGAACAATTTCTCAGTCTGTCTTTGTTTCTCATGATCTTGACGTTTTTCAAAAGTCAGGTGAGTTATTTGGTAGAATGCCCATCAATTTAGGTTTGCTGATTGTTTCTTTATCATTAGGTTGAGCTATGTACTTTTGGTACAAAAAGCACAGAAATGACCCTATAGCTTTCTCATCGCGTCACATCCAAAGGCATATAAGGTCAGTGTGGCCAAAAACTGATGAGAATAACTGTGATAAGTCAGTTAAGATTGTATTTTGCTGGGTTACTCTGTGTGAAGTTACTACTTTTCCTTTGTAATTTTTAAGTGATTTGTGGGAAGATGTTTTCATATTGGCTAGGAAAATGTCCAATTCCTCATCAGATTTTCTCTGCTAAGTTTAGCATCTATTAGTGATTTGTGGTTGAATAAATTATTACCGCAATAGTGTCAAACATGATCTACTAATTCCATCATTTATTCTGTATTTGTCAGTTGCATTCTACTGTAAATCAGAACTTTTTCTTCTTTCTTTATTCATTTGTTGATATCAATGTGGCCTCAGATTTTTATCTCATGCCCCAAATATTCTGTCACTATCATTTGTTATCCCAGGTTTGGCAAGTTACAGGCTTTTCAAACTGACTCTTATGTCTTTTTTCACTTGTCCCATCATTTTTTGAGCACTTCCTTCACAATAAGTTGCACCAGCCTCATTTTGAAGTTTTACCTGCCCAGCACTAGAATCAGCTGTTTTCTTAATGAGCCCTGCTTGCTTTTAGCAAGGAATGGTAATTATAAACCAAGATGAGGGCATAGGTGTGCTTGTGCTACTGGTATATTTTGCTTCTAGGACCTTTCAGTAGACAGAGCTATTACATCCATTGTGTTTGTTGAAGGTGGAATGAATTATGTCTACTCTCCTATAATGTAAAATAATCCTTACCTGAAATGAAATCTTATTTTTAATAAACTATTAATTGTAACTCAATTATTTACTAAGAGACTGTATGATAAAACTAAATATTTTCTTTAGGAACTTAAATTGAAGTAAAAAATTACTGCACATAAATCAGTAACTCTAGAAAGAGCAACATTAAAATCACATTACACTTTTTTTAGTGCTTCATGGTGAGACAATTAAAAACTATATTATAAATGTTGTATTTGACTAAATTTATTTCTGCCACATATGTAAAGGATTATTTTCTCCCATTAAGGTCTAAGTGTAAATCTTCTTTTGAATTCAGCAGAAATTTGAAATGCAATTTTAGTAAAGGGTTTATCTTGGTGTTGTAAGAATTTGTTCTTGAAATTACAGTATAATTTATTTGTGCTTTTTAATACAGTAATACTGACTTTTTTTTCTGACACATCATAACACTTTATTCCAGAATTCTTTATTTTGGGTGGGGGTTGCGGGGACAGAATTTTCCTCTTGTTACCCAGGCTGGAGTGCAGTGATCTCAGCTCATCACAACCTCTGCCTCTCAGATTGAAGCAATTGTCATGCCTCAGCCTCCTGAGTAGCTGGGATTACAGGCACATACCACCACATCCATCTAATTTTTTGTATTTAGTATAGACAAGGTTTCATCATGTTGACCAGGCTGGTCTCAAACTTCTGACATCAGGTGATCCATCTGCCTCAGCCTTCCAAAGTGCTGAGATTACAGGTGTGAGCCACCACACCCTGCCTATGCAAGAATTCTTTTACCTCCAAGGACTTGTCTTAATTTTTGTCTGGTTAAATTTTAATGGTCCTATGTGTCTCTCTTGATCAGATTAACTTGAATATGGGAAGTTGTTAGCTAGTCAGCTCCATAGTTTTAGGCTCAGCTCTCCCATCTTAAGATGATGTGACTAACGAGAGTTCTTAATTTCTCTGAACCTGTTTCTTCATCTACAAAATAAAGATAATTATACCACCCATGTACTATATAAAAAGTACTTTGTACAATGTCAGGTATACAGTAAAAGTTCAGTAAGTGCTAGTTATAATTATACATTTCTAGATCTGTAGATGGGAAGTGATATTACATGTCCTGTAGTTCAAGACTTTAATTTTAGTGAGAAAAAAATAAGATAAAGTAGGTGAAGTAGCTATTGAAGATCTTTTAGTTAGCTAGTGGCATAACTATAGCCAGAATCATGTCTTCTGAATCCTGTCCAATGTTCTTTTCTGTTAGGACTTTGTTATTTTTCCCAAATCATCTTTAAAATTTTTATGTTGATCTATATTGTATATGTAAAATGAAAGATAATTAAACCATGCTTGCTAGACATGATTATGCACATTTCATACTTTTCATCAAAAATTGTGAAAATGTCGAATTACCCTGACTTGCCGGAAGTTGTGGACTAAAAGGGGATCTTATCTGGCTATAAAGAGCTTTGTCCTCCATATCTGTTTCAGCCACACTAGATGCTATCCCTAATGTTCTCTTTGGAAACCTTTGAAGGAGAAGGAGCAATGTTCTCCAAAGTTCTCCCAGAAATAAGTAAGTTAGGTTTCAAGGCCCAATTCAAAGGCCTGTTTTGTGTAGTTCTTTCTGACACTCTTCACCCTTAAAATAAGTAAGTAGACTCTTATTTATAATTTTTACTGCACTTTCATAATTATACTTTATTTAGGTCTTACTCTAGGATTTCTTTTCTTTACTCTAGAATAAAGAAGAATATATTAGAAAATATAGAGGAGAAAAGTAAAAAATTCCTCAAACCAAAAGTTTAGCATAGTCCCCAACTAGAATCTCTTGTGATTTCACACACCTAGAGAGAGGCAAAGAATTTTATTTTCTCTGTAACTGTGACGCAGCAATTCTGCTTTGCACTAAAATTATTGAAAGTTAAAAGGTCAGCTATGTTTCTATTTGAAGGCAAATGTCAGCCTTTTGGGGGGAACTATACTGGAGAGTCACTTTTTGGAGCAGTTCCAGTTGGTATTCAGTAACTGGCATCAGAGGTGAAATTGCACTAAAAGAAGAAAAGATTTTTAAGAATAACATCAGAAATTATCTGCAATGTCCTTTTTTTTTTTTTTTTTTTTTTTTACAGGGGCTGTGTGGAGTGGTGTGAATGTGGCAGGTGTTTCTCTTCAGGAATTGAATCCAGAAATGGGAACTGACAATGATAGTGAAAATTGGAAGGAAGTGCATAAGATGGTGGTTGAAAGGTGAGTGAAAGGGAGCTTGATTTTAGATGATTAATTTCATCTTTACTTAAATAAAATTATAAACATTTTCTATGGCTGTCTGCTTAGATATACTCCTAATGTAATTATCCAGCTGTTATCTTTTGAAACTGATAAGATTTTTATACTGGTCACACTTGCTGTACCAGTCTCCATAGGGAAAGTAAATATTTTTCCTCTAGATTAAGTCTATTGTAGCAGTAACAGGAGCAAAATGCGGAATTAACAAGTGAGAAGAGCCTTCAGATTGCCTCCTCTCAACAAATAAGATTGATTTATTTAGAAAGGTAAACTTAGACACCATTGGTTTTATAATTGCCCAAAATAAATAAACTTGCTGGCTGATTGCTAACAGTGTTTTAAGTTTTAATAACAAGACTAACTGATGTCTCAAATATAGAATCATTTTGTTTAGTTCAATTTTAGTAATTGTTTTTCAGGAGTTTGATCTACAAGTGGAGAAAAAGAACCTTAAAAAAGTTGAAAAGGTCTTTATAATTTCAATTAACATAACCCCTTATTTTACAAATGAGAAAACTATGGCTCACCCAGATAATGTAACTGGTCCAAGGTCTTCTAATCAGTTGTCAATTGCATTAAATCTTAATTTTCTCATATTCAGCTAGAGTTATTCCTGCTACTTCTCAAGTACCAGTGCCTCTGTGGGTTTTGAGAGCTACAGTTTTTGCTGAAAAAATTGCTGGGCAAGATATTGTCATCATTTTTATTAGTTGATTATAATATGTTAGGTGACAGTGGCAAGTGAGACCTCACAATTGAGATATATTTTGTCCTTTTACTTTCATAGTTTCCTGATTTTGTGTGTTTGGAAATATTTTTACAAATAAACTACATTGATTGGAAAATGTATATTTTTACCACAGTGACTTTATAAATCTTTACTTATACAATAAACTAATGTTATCAAACATTTATATAGTATTTACCATGTAGTGCTTACAGTTACAAGCATGTTACGTATATATTAACTCATTTAACACTCATAACAAACTTATGAAACAGTTACCATTCATATCCTAGTTTAAAGAAGGGAGGACTAAGGCAAGAAAGGTAAGATAATTTGCCCAAGATTATAATTAGAGACAGAGCAGGAGTCAAACTCAGGTGGTCTGGTTTCAATAATGATTGAGTCTTATTTCATTGATGTCTTTATAATTTTTTTAAGTGCCTATGAAGTCATCAAGCTAAAAGGATATACCAACTGGGCTATTGGATTAAGTGTGGCTGATCTTATTGAATCCATGTTGAAAAATCTATCCAGGATTCATCCCGTGTCAACAATGGTAAAGGTAAGACAAACTACTACAAAATATAATGATTTCTAGCCGTGTATTCTAGAAAAGGATTCATTTCAAGAGGCCCAGACCAGATAACATCATAGTTCACAGTTATTTCTGTTTCTGATGGTTTTATGCAAACCATTGTCATTTTCCAGCAGAAGTCTTGGTCAACAAGGGCAATAACTTACAGACTCTAAGACATTCAATAGATGTTGTCATTTTTCTTTGTATAATTTTGCAAATTAAATATTAACTCTGATTCTTTACTTAGTACATTCTTAAAGTATTGATCATCTGACAAAGTGTAATAGAGTTTCATTTAAAGTTGATATACAAAACTCTAGATTGCCTTTCATATAGCACTTGATATCTTAGCAAATACAGTTTAATTCAAAAGCTATGGAGCAAATGCATAAAACAGGTAGAAGTTATTTTTCAAACAAAACTAAAATTATATTAAAATGTTTTGTAAGACAACTGACTCATTTTCCACAAGTCAGTGTAAATCAAGTGTGTCAAAAATTGGGTAATTACCAAGTCTTAAGGTACATATATAGGAATTTGTTTATTCTGTCTACTTTTGTGTAAGTGCCAATTTTTTGAAAAGTTTAAAAACTTATATTAAGGTGTGTTTAATATAATTATATAATTTTATTAGTTATATAGTTAAATGACCCTTTGAATAAATTACCCACACAAACTGGTAACGTGTTTTGGAAATTGTTTTGTTGTTGTTGTTTTTATTTATTTATTTATTTTTAGCAATTCTTAGGTGGTCCAAGAATCTTGCTTTTAATGGTCTCTAATTATTACCTAGGACCTTGTAGATTGGCTACCACTTTCTGAAATTTCTTTCTTAACTCAGTCTTTAAGCAACTTAAAGCTCATAGTGTATGTTTGCATATTCTATGTATAAAACCTAACTCAAAACGTAAGTATTGAGGAAATGTGGACCTGTATGTGATGAAAATCAGATTAGAGAATGAGTTTGTACTTATTAAGTTTCCTACAAGTCTTTCTGTTGAAGCATAGGACCTTTGATTATTCTCTTTTTTACCCCCGTTAGAGTTGAGGTCTTGCTCTGTCACCCAGTCTGGAGAGTAGTGCCACGATCATAGCTCACTGAAGCTTCAAACTCCTGGGCTCAAACAGTCCTCCCACCTCAGTCTCCTGTCTTTGATCATTTTTACATATGGTTCCGTGTCTTAATCTCAGTGCTTTGTTGTTCTGGCAGGGGATGTATGGCATCGAGAATGAAGTCTTCCTGAGCCTTCCGTGTATCCTCAATGCCCGGGGATTAACCAGCGTTATCAACCAGAAGCTCAAGGATGATGAGGTTGCTCAGCTCAAGAAAAGTGCAGATACCCTGTGGGACATCCAGAAGGACCTAAAAGACCTGTGACTGCTGAGCCCTAGGCTGTAGAAGTTTAAAAACTACAATGTGATTAACTCTGAGCCTTTAGTTTTCATCCATGTACATGAATCTTAGTTTGCTCTGACCTTTAATATGTGAATTTGAGCTCATAGAATCAAAGCCTATGTTTGGTTTAATGCTTGCAATGAGTTCTAGAACAAATAAAATTAACTATTGCAGTGTGCTTCTATTTCTGGGATTCCTTCCTTAATGATTCCTGAAAGATTTCAATCTGTCAACTCGTTCTTACCACAGATCATAAATGTCCCTAAATTCCAACGTCATCTACACTCCTCCCTCTGGATGGCACAAAAATTATTTATTGCAACATGTGCCACAGTTGTGTAGTTGTTGCCCTGAGAATATGATTATCATTTTAAGGTAATAATTGAAGAAGTTGCAATGGATGTCAATGTATATGACAATTGCAAGGAAGCCTATTGTAAAAGGAAGAACCCCTAAAACAGAAACTTTGTTAGAGTTAGTTCTATTTAATGAAGGCAAATGAAAGTTTGGTCTGGATTATTCAGATTCAGGCTACTTGGAGATAGCATAACGTGAATTCACAGGGAATTTAGGTAGACTTCCTTTAACAAAGAGTTCCCAATTTACATGTCATATGTAGGGGTAAGTTTAGGTAGCGTTTAAAACATGGGCTTTGGTGTCATAAACCTGGACTTGAGTCCTAGCCTTATCATTGATGAACTGTGATCTTGGTCAAGTTGACTACTTAACCACTCCTAATTCTCAATTTCCTCACCTATAAAACAGTGATGATAGCAATACCTCTTCAGTATGGGTTGCTGAAATGAGAAAATCATGTAAAACTCTCAGCACACAGCTTGGTCATCATGGTAGCTAACATTTAGGTAGTCTTTCCTGTTCCAAGTAACTTACCTAAGTCATCCCAACTATCCTGTAAGGTAGTGTTTAATGTCAACGCTGTTAACATTTTGGGCTGGGTGTTTCTGTGTAGTGGGGGTTGCATTGCACATTGTAGGATCAGTGTCCCCGATTTACCCAATTGATGCCAGTCACACACCTCTGCCCACAAGGTGTAGCCAAACATGTCTGCAGACCTTGACAAATGTCTCCTGGGTTGGGGTGAGGACAATCACCCATGACTGAGAACCACTGTTGTGAAGTATTTGTATCCTCATTTTACAGATGAGGAAACAGACATGAAGAGGGACACAGGTAATAGCCGCTAAATAACAGAACCGGGATTCAATCCAGGCAATTAACTTTAAAATCCTCTCTCAAGTGTACTATAATGCAGAAAAACTGAAAAAGTTGTTATATTTTTGTGTTTTTTCTAGAATAATACTGAAATTCTTTAATGCTCCCAGCACCAGCATATAATGAGGATACTATTATTTCTGTATTACAGAAAGGGAGATGGACACAGTTATTAAATTCCTCTTTCATACCGCATTTCCAAAGCTACTGAATCTTGGTATGGTGATCATATCTAGATGTAAGGAGGAGGATTAAGTTAATACATGCTTCTAGTTCATCATTCCAGTTTCTATGTGAATGTCGAATTTGCAATAAGTCAATAGTTTCCAAACTTCAATTTCATGGATCAGTTTAGAATTGTTTAAACTTTGTCTAAAAGGGGGAATGGACACGTGTGTAGGAGGTTAGGAAGCACGGACACAAGTTTGCCAACTTTTAATTTTGCCAAATAAGGACATGGAGAAAGGAACCCATTTTCTACTGTCATACAAAAGAAAAGACAGTTAAACTCCAAAAGAATGGGAAGACCACAATCTCAAATTTATCAGCTGTCCTGGACCATGGACAGAAATGCAAAATCCTTGGGATGGCAGAACCAAGAGCTGGAAGAAGGCTGGGCTTTCAGTCTGCATGCAGCTGCCTATACCAGCTATTGACTGCCTGCCTCCCAATTGCTTTTTATATTAGGAGGAAACAAATTCCTATCACTGTAATTTTACGCATCTGTCTCGGCTAAACCAATTATTTCAAAATGACATACTCTCCAACTATATGGCATAGTACCTCTTAGATAATTTTTTATCTAATGGAGGACATACACTGGGATGATAAATAACAAAATAAGATGCTATAAAATCAAGACAAAAACCCACTTGATTCCTCACACATTCAATTGGAGCACTTTTGTTATTTTCTTACTGTCAGGGGAAACATGAAAAATGGAACTAATGACATTCCTTAGGAATAGAGGAGATGCCCAGTAATACCTGACTCGTCAGGTATTCCCTGGGTCAATATCCAAAATGCAAAAACTGTACTGAATGAGACAGACATGGATAGTTTATCCATACCGGTACTTTGATCTCATACAATTTTAGAACAGTAAGGGACTTTTGCTCAAGGTATTTTACAGAAGAGAAACTGATGCTCAAGTACTTCTGTGGATCTATTGCTTAGTATTTCTGCAAAGTAGCTAAAACAAAGAAAGGTGGAATGTATTGGTTCAACTAGCTGCAAAGCTTAGGAATGGAACCGGACATTAAGCAACACCATATTCAAGAATAAAAAATCGATGTTGTCAGAAGTAGGCAGTTTTTCTCCAACTCTCTTTTTTCCTCTGTACATTGATTTAATTCTCAGGTTGTATGTAGTGGCAAATTGTCTATAGCAACTCCTGAATTGTATCTTCTCTTGTTCAGATCTAATAGAAAACTGTCAGCTGGGAGCGGTGGCTTATGTCTAATCCCAGCACTTTGGGAGGCCGACGCACGTGGATCATGAGGTCAAGAGATCGAGACCATCCTGGCCAACATAGTGAAACCTCATCTCTACTAAAATACAAAAATTAGCTGGGCATGGTGGTGCATGTCTGTCGTCCCAGCTACTCAGGACGCAGAAGCAGGAGAATTACTTGAAGCCAGGAGGCACTTGAGCCGAGATCGCACCACTGATGGAATAAGATGTACAACATTGAACCTAGCCCAGTGATCTGAGTGTTGCACCGCTCTCATTGAAACATGACTTGTCTCTTTTGGAGCCAAACCCTATGAACTGAGAGTGGTGGAAGGGATGAAACCCAGAAGAAATTTAAGGCATTTTCAGACATTGGAGGGGAAATAGAACTGGGTGATTTTTAAAGATAAATAAATAAATGTCATCTCTCGTGGCTGAGCTGGAACTGAAATTCTCAAATCTTGACACCAAATCAGTAGTCTTTTCCATGACCTGTTTTACTGCCTAGCATTAGTGTCTTCCAACAGCTATATAATAAATGCTTTTAGTTATATCTGGGTTCTGACACAGCGAAGTGTTTTTAGGTGTAATGTAGGCCTTTCAAGGGAAAAATCTCTGTCTTTTCCGTTCTACTCTCTGGTTCAACCTGATTTCTATTATTATTGGAGCTCCAACTTAGAAATACTAGTCATTGCATTAGAAAACTGAGAGATGAATGGAAAGCAGGAATTTTTCACCCATTTTGGAACACAGAGCTCTGTATGAATAAAATTAAGCAGACAATTACTAGAGGAAGCCATCACACATTAAATTAGTCAACAAAGAAATGTTTATCAAGTATCTGTTTGGAATGAGTAACTCTTGTAGTTGTTGTGGTGGAAAGACAGCAGACATAGTCCAGGTCTTCAGGGCAACAAAACATATTCATGTCACTATAATTTGGGTATTCGTCTCCACCCAAATCTAGTACTGAACTGTAATCCCCAGGGTTAGAGGTGCGGCCTGGTGGGAGATGTTCAGATCATGGGGTCAGATCCCTTATGAATAGCTTGGGCCATTCCCTTGGTGGTGAGTTTTGGCTCTGCATTCACATGAGGTCTGGTGGCTTGAAAGTGTGTGGCACCTCCCCTGCCACTCTCTGTCTTGCTTCTTCTCTGGCCATGTGACATGCCTGCTTATGCTTTGCCTTCCACCATTATTATAAGCTTTCTGAGGTCTCCCCAGAAGCTGAGCAGATGCCAACAACTGTAACTGTGAGCTAATTACACTTCTTTTCTTTATAAATTACCCAGTCTCAGGTATTTCTTTATAGCAATGAAAGAATGGCCTACTACAAATGTGTACCAACATGGCATTATATGATTAGTGTAGGAGACAGAGCACTGTACTTGTGCTCAAATGTTACATTTCTAATATCGTAGCTCTTTTTCTCCAAATCCATTTGATCAGTGTCAGATTCTTAACTTTAAAATGTAATAAGGATGTAAATGCAATAATATGTAAAAAATGACTATAAGTTGTGAAGCCCTACCTACACTCATACATTATTATCATAAAAACAATATAGTCGTAAAATTCCAAGTGCCTCAGATTTCTGAAAAGTCAGTCTTTGTGAACTGAGAGACGTTTCACAGAGATAATTTAGAAAACAGGATTTAAGTGGAAAGGATTATTTAGAAAACCAACTGCATGACCAGAAAATAAAAATGCAATATATGTATACACACCTCACACCCTAAATCAGGACAAATCTAAATAGATCAAGAATTTACATGCAGAAAAAAAAACCCATATAGATTATAAAAGAAAATATAGTACATTTTTGTCATTACATTGAGGTTAGGAGGACCTTTTTGTGTCCATATCTAGAGCCATTAAAGAAAGAATTAGTTCAGAACGATCCAAGATGGCCGATCGCTAACATCCCGGGATTGCAGCTCTCAGGGAAGGCGCGGAGAACTAGAGGACGCCACACTTTCAGACAAAGTCTGGTCGCTCACGGAGCAGAAGATCCCCCAGTGGTGGAAACACACGGGTCGCCAGCGCGACTCTCGTGGTCGGCGCAGCGGTTCCGCCGGCACCTCAGCTCTCGGAGCAGAGTAAACGGGACCGGTTTCCCTTCTGACCGAGGTTGGGAGCCCCGGGAAGGCAGAGTCGCCTACTACGGAAACAAGAAGGAAGCCCGACAGGAGAATCCTGGGCGGAAAAGCACCATCAGTTTTAACGCCGCTGCTCTGGCCCTGGGAACTAACAACCTGGACGTCCACTCAAGAGACCTAATCTGAAAGTTGGTAACTTCAAAGACGAGAGGAGGATAAATTTACAATAACGGGAAGAAACCAGCATAAAAAAGCTGAGAATACTCCAAGTCAGAACGCCTCTCCCTCCAAAGATGATCACAGTTCCACATCGACAATGGAACAAGGCTTGATGGAGAACGAGCGCCTCCTGATGACAGAATCACTCTTCAAGGAATGGATAATAACAAACTTCGGTGAG